AGTGCTAATTAAAAGGTGATAAGTACTTGGTATGCTTTATTTTACATGTTCTCCACAATGAGATCAAAATTAATTAATTAACTTTTTGTTTTTTGTTCACTGTTTATTTCAAATCAATCAATATTCATATTAAACGGTGATAAAGCATGTCATGAAGTCTGCATTTCAACGTCACGCATGCCATGTGTTTATGACTTAACCAACAATGACAAAATTAAACTTAAATCTCGTACCGGATTATGATTAACGAATGCGTTTTTTTTTATTAATTGAGATTTAAAAAGAAACAAAGTGACAATAATTTCGATTATTTTGATTTTCAACCGTTTATGTAATCTATTTTTCTGCCCTAAATTCCTCTACTTTATAATTGAATTTCGCATGAAATGCATAGACAAATTAAATCAAATTAAAACAATTTTTAACATCAAAAGGTAAAAAACAATAAAAAAAATCTTGAAATAAATGGACAATTTTGCAAACTGGATTCCATTGTTCTGTAATTTTAATGGAAAAAAGGTCCACGCGTCATTTGCTTAGCTGTAGCACTATTTCTTTTTCTTTTTTGGGGTGGAATTTTTACTTTCTCACACGGTTTTTCCTTCTGTTTTTCTTGCTCTATTTCATACGACCTTTTCAAAGAAAATGATGGGAAAAGGTTAGAGGAAACCAAAAATTCGGCTATTACTCGATATATCACGGATTTTATATTAATAAAAGATTAAATAAATTTTGAGTATATAAAATATAAATTTTTTACCACCTATTAGACGTGTCTTTTGAATTAAAAATGTGAATCTGTAATTTATAAGCTTATTTAAATTTTATTTTCAGAATTTAAAATCGTCCGAGGTTGAGTTTAAATTTTAATCCGTGACACTCAGTGTCAACTAAACCCAAAATATAAATAAAACTAAATTAGATAATAAAAAAAGGTCAAATACTTGACTTTTCCTAAAATATATACCATAGAATTTGGTTTTGCAAAACTTGTTAAAATTACTATTTTTTATTTTATAAAATATTTTTCATACAATTATCAATATCTATATACTTAAATTGTTTACGAAGATTACCTTACCAAGTACATATAAGCAACATTTAACATTTCCCGACCTTTATTTTGAAAATTGTATTGAAGTTCTTGTGGACCGAATTTTGCTTAATTTTATCAAAAGTAATCGGTAACTAATAAGCCGAGAAAAGGGATTTTCAAAATTAAAAGAAAGAAATTAACTTGAACAACAATGATACAGAAATTTGTAATAATCAAGTCTATATTTTATTAAAATTGAAAAATTTTAACAACTCAATCCTGAACCCTAAACCTATAAGATAGAAAAAAAAATCAATACATCATAAATGCATGTGTATTTACATATAGTTTAGATGCATTAATTTATTTCCTTTATCACATAAAGGGGGACCTATATTATCTTTTTCAAAGCAATTGCTGTGAACATGTGAATGCTAGATACGATACAGCATGTCAATCACGATATATATATAATAATAAGGTTGGAAGCCACTTCTCCTAACCCAACTCAAGGGGGTCAAGCCTTCACTTTTTTTTGGATGATGATGACATCTTCCATATGTAAAGGGTTCATTCAGATTAGAGGTTTAAGTCTCTCTGCCTTTCAAAAGAATAGTATCAATAAATTATACAAGAATTTGCTTCAAAATGAAATTAACTATATATTTATCATCATTTTTCAAAAAAAAAAAACAAAATGTTGTGAATAATTGTCTTAAATAACTAAATTATCCGTAACTTAACTTTATTTGATATTAATGTCACGATATTAAGATTATACTCACTTATTAATTCGAGAACGAAATGGTTTTTTCTTGACGTAATTTACACTTTTATAAAAATAAATAAATTAAAAATGGGGTCAATATTGTGTGCGGCAATAAAGGTATTGGAAATTCATACTAAAAAGAGGTCAAACTATGACAATGGAGACTACCTAAACTGCAAATTGAAATGAGTCAATATATTTTGAAAATAAATTAGTAAATTACTTAAAAAAATATTTTTATATGCAAATTAAAAATTGTAAATTTCTCCCTATTGCATTATAACTTATCTCTATACATAAATAAGAAAGTGAAATTTTATGGTGGGATTAGGATAAATGGAGGGGGGAAAAAGTTAGGTAAGAATGCACAGCATTTTGGTGACATAGAATCCTCTTAGAATAGAGTTATAAGTGGGGAATTTGGCAGCTAAAACGACAAGGGCAAAGGCAAGCTGTCATTTTGCTCTTGATCAAAGCCTTTTAATAACAAAATTTTCTACATTCATCGAATTGACATATTGCTTCTACATTCTGATTCAATGTTTTTAATCTTCAATTTCAAAAAGATGACAACTAATATATATATATATATATATATATATATATAGACACCCACATTTCATTCAACCTTTCAACAAGGCATAAAGTCTTGCAATTAAAGGGAAATATATACCAAATTGAAAAACAAACAAGTAAATTCACTTTAGATAAAGGGTCACTTTGATTTTGTGTCTTTCCATTCTTAGGTGCTGCAAAATATCTTTAATTGGTCTTTTAATTGGATCTTGATTGAAAAAGATTAAATTTTTTAATGTGTTATCTATGATATATATATATATATACATATATTTCTTTTAACGTCGTTGTAAATTTAATAAATATATTTAATTTAATAGTAGTTACATGTATTCAATTGTGTGGGGAGCAGGGTTTGTTGATATTCTAGTTGTTTGATCCTAGACACAATCAAGATAGACAGTTTCTTATTTCTCATACGTAAATAATTACAAGAGAGGATTACTCTGTGTGTCGTTCTGCCTAGTATCATTCTATGGTAGATTTTGTAAGTAATCTATACAATGAAATCATTCCCATTTTCTTCAAAATTATACTTGATAAAAAAAGAGTTTAATTTCTATAAACTTGATAATTAACCCTTTTATTGTAAGTGCACTTGACCATTTTATTTATTTATTAGTGCATAATCCCCTGTCTAAATAATTAAGTTGAAATCCTCCTTCTTTTAATTATATATATAAAAAGAAACCCATTTATTGTAATAGCATTCGAGCATTTGATTCATTGATTAGTGCATGATCTTCTTGTCTATAAAAAAATAAGATTTAAAGTTTTTTCCCAATTTAAAAGAAAGAAAAAAACACATTCATTGTAAGTATGAAAGAAGCAAGGTCTTGTTGGACTATTTGTAATCATATTTTCCTTCTTTCCCCACATGCATGAATAGATATGAAAATTTTCTAAGTCCCCTTATGCTAAAGCTTTTTTCCTTTTTTCCATCAAGAAAAAGCCCTACAATTCATAAACTATGGCCAGTGGCCACTTATATTGATAATGAGTTAAAAGAAAAAAAAATGGAGAATTATTGATTGCCTTTTTTCCTTCCCATAAGGTTTGTTGGAACATAATGTATGATATATCCATGGAGTAGTACCTTCTCTTGGTTTAGCATGGCACAGAAAGTCCAATCAACAAAAGAAAATTCCCTTTCTCTTCATTTCTTTAGCAAGCTAAATAATTTTTTTTTGAAAAAAAAAATTCTCATAAACCCTAAGATCGTAGTAAATTAACATTCTATCAAAATCGAAGTCATAATAAAAGTTACACACATGAAACTCTTTTCTCGATTCCACAACATGAAAATTTTATGAACTAAGTCGTTTTACTGAAAATTAGAATCAAAATTATTGTCGTAAATTGATCGATTAAGATATTTATTATAAATAATCAGCTTTGAAATCAACTCAACATTAATATAATAATAATAATAATTATCCATATGATTAGGGGACATAAAGAGGGACAAAGAAAGGGAGGGTGTCACACTTCATTTCATTCAATTCATAATCCTTTTAGTAAATATAACTCACAGCTCCAATGATGAATCCTCTCCAACTTTCTTAAAAGCAGGGGAACCTGCTTTTCTTTTCTTTTCTTTGTTTTTTTTGGACGGGAGAGGGGGGGGTGTTGTTTTCATTTCATGGGCAAAAAGTTTGATGTACAAACTAAATAATTTTGGGAAAAGATTTAAAAGCCTATATTCGCTGCAAATTGCTTCAAATGCACCTTAAGAATCAAATCATGTGTTTCTGATTACATTTTTTTCTGGATTCATGCTGTCTCCTACTGATTTATAGATAATGATAATAATGATTTGTGGGTTTGAAAAGCATGGCCATTTGGGGGTTTTTTCTTTTATTATTTTCTAGTTTTATAATTGTCCTGAAATGTGATAGGAAAGTACATCTGTTTCCATTGTTTGGATTGGAAGAAATTGAAAGAAAAGGGGCTAGAATTTTGAACCAATTGCAATCTTGTATTCTGGAACACTTCCTACTTTCCATCTCCATTTACAATAAGCAAACTTCCCAAGTTTCCAAGCCCGACAATATTACAAGAATGTTGATGAACTTGACAGGGGGTTTTCTCAGGGAAACATGGAAAAATAGAAAAAGAACTCTTTTTGCTGATTGAATCTTAATTGGCTGCCATGTTGCAAGAAGGAATGCTCTAATGCTTAGTCATGAACGTTCAGATACAAAGTTTACTTCTTTGGGTCTTTCCTTCCTGGACATACACAAGAAGCTTGGAGATGAATCTTTGATTAAAAGAATGCATCAGAGAGTTGATGTTAGATCCTAACTTTTGAACTGATCATGACCTACTTTTGCTGCTATAGATTTATTGCAAATACCATTGTAGACATTTACTGATTACAGCAAAATTTGCACTGAAAAATCTAGAAAGAATCCAGTTACAGCAAAATTTGCACTGAAAAATCTAGAAAGAATCCAGTAGCCTCAAGCGATGAACACCATACAACCACCTGCTGCACTGATCAGCAGTTCCATTACTGCACATGAGAAGATCCAAGAAGAGAATATACAGGAGAGTTTAAGAGAGAGAGGGAGCATATCCCATTAACATCTTAATGGAGGCAGAGAAGCAAAACAATTTACAAACTTCTTGAAGGGCAAATGCCTCAAGTCAAAATGTACACATTTCCACAAAGAACTCAAAAGCATTCTTCATTACACCTTACAAATCATTTCACTGTAGGGGTCAAAGCCTGCAACCAGTTACAATTTCGCATAGCATCCACAAAAGATAGCTATTCTCGGGTTAGTGTTAGTTAACGAACAACATAGGCCTTTCATCAAGAAACAAACAAACAAAAACATGTGTTCAGACAAGCACGCTTACAGAGAAGCTTGAACCAGTGGACTTATACACGTATGGTTAAAGAATTTAGATTAGTGTATGAATTTAAAGTACAAGGTTAACATTAAGGTTCCTCAAGATATAAAAACTCCCAAATTCATTGACTTACAACATCTCCCATTTTGAAAGACATGCTCCTGTTTATTTGATTTCAGAAGTTGGCTCTTGTTCTTCACACCATTCCCATGCCAGAGCCAGAAATTCTAGCGCCATCCTTGAACAGAAGTTTCTGCATCATGGTTCCTTGCAGTGAAAATTCTCATATTTTGGACCTCACCTCGCAATATAAACAATATGAACAGCTGTCAAAACCCTTTCTTTTGCTAACATAACTCCCTTAATCGCTGTGTGTTTGTGACACATTAACAACATCAAATACCTACATTGATTCACTGCCAACAAAAAAAAACCTTCAGCGTGAAATTTGTTTACTGTAGAATTTTTATGGTAGCTGCCATTCTGTCAGAAAGGTGTGCACAGTGGAAGCCCCTTTTTGCTACTTATTTCAGAAGCTCAATGAATTTAAAATATCCATTCAAAGTCAAAAACTGGGCAAAAGATAAATTTCTGTGATTCCTTAATTTGGAATAATCTCTTAGTTATATCGACCGAGGTCTCATGAATGTCAAAGGCCTTGAAAGATATGACGTATCCAGTAGAAAAGCAATAAATGTGACGAGGCCACCATGTTTGTCCAGCTTCCAGCAATTCTTTCACCCATATTGGATCACTTAATATAAAAAGCTATTCTCCGGTTGCAACACCCATACAACCCCAGTGTCCTCGATATTACAACAATTCAACAAGATGTATTTCCCTGCAAGACGACAAACAATAAGATGCATTTCCTTATAGACTTAACAAATAAAGAACAAGGAAACCAAATATAGAGAAAGGTTTCTTCTTACTTTAGTACATTGCATATTAGTCAATGACCTGCTTTCTAAAAAATTTAATGCCAACAATTCCAATAGAGGCTTCTAGAATGTGTCCACTAACATAGCCCACATCTGTAGTTTTTTTGTTCTTTAGATATCTAAAGATAACTGCATTGATGCAGCCAAGAAGGATCGATACAATTTGTCAATTAATTGTTATTTCCCATTACGATTGTCTCATGTTGTTTTGCTATATTGATAACTAGTGCTTAGGTGCTTTATTTACTCAAACATTTTTTGGTAATATTAAGGATGAACGTTTATCTTTTATATTACTTAAAATATGAATTTAACCTAAGAATTCTGCCTGTAATGACTAGCACCTCTTTAGTTGTTATCCACTAAAGTATTCTCCTTAGAGATCCTAACAAATAGGTTTTCAATATCTCAATTAATGAATAAATGATGTGTTTTGAAAATTAACTTGGCTGATATGTGATGCATCTTCTTAGGACTACCAGTGCAGTTATACAGCCATAAGTTATAATGCTCTTTCTTAATAACAGAACAGTTATCTTATAAAATCACAGCAAATTATGACCCTTCACTGATGCCTGCATATGTTTATTATATGCACATGTAGATGTACATACCATTGCCTTTACAACTATGTGGAATCTTTTCCATCAACTTGACTTCAGAAACTTCAAACAATGCAAGCAGTGTGCAGCAATAGAAAACTAAGAGGCAAGGCAAGCAACCCAAGTGCCACACAGTAAAATCATCCGCAAAAGGAGCAAACACCAAATAATGAAAGACCGTGCATTATTTGGTAATACTATTAATGTTGACACACAAAAGGAACAAAAACCAAACAATTTCTTAGGACTTTCTCATTCATAACCAAATGAAGACAGAAATAGTTTACCTGAGGTTCTATCCGCTGAATACAAGTCATAAGCATGGTGATAACACTGGTTTGTTGAACACTGGAAAAGTCGAAGATATATTAACTACTACCAGACAGCTTCAGATATGCTTTTTCACCAATTGATAAGTCATTTTGTTGCAGCAATGCAGGCAGACTTCTTCTAAGTATCTTCCTGCATAGCCAAGTGCAGAAAGAGACAATTTACCTGAGATCCTATCAGCTCAGTCTAAATTAAACACAAGGCAATAACATTGGCCTGTTGAACACTGCCAGGAAAAATTCACACAACATTTACTAGTATTGAACAGATTTTGTTGTGCCTTTTCGCCTCTTGATAAGTCCTTCCATTAAAACAATGTAGGTGGACTTATTTAAAGCAACACCCTTTTCATTTGATACTCTAAAAATGCGCATAGCATCCTTGTATCTCCCCTGATTGCACAGCTCAATGATCTGTACCGAGCAAGCATTGGAATCTGGATCAGATTCCTTAAGAATCTCACTGGTCTTCACATTCTGCTCCTTCGACTGCAAGGACTGTTCATGAACTTTTCCCGCTTCAACCATTTTCGAAATAACTTCCTCTAGTTCCTTCATTCTGCCTGCACTGGTGAGAGCATCAAGAATGGCTTTATACGTATAATTATCAGGGCCCAGATTTCTTTCTTTCATTTCTGAGACAAGATGATATGCAGCCTCATATCTTCCTTCCTTACATAGGCTTGATATCATCGTGTTGTATGTAACTCCATCAATTGCTTTCCCTTTTGAAATCCAAGCATCAAAGAGCTTAAGGGCTTTTTCAAGCATACCCTCCCTGCAAAGACCAGAAAGCAGAATATTACAGGTAAAGACATCTGGCTTGAATGAGTTTTTAGCCATTTTGTTGTAAAACTCAAATGCTTTCTCAACTTTCCCCTCCTTGAAGTACCCATGAATAATTGTGTTGTAAGTAGTTTCGGCTGGGACTAGACCACTCTCAAGTAACTCATTCAACTTGCCTATTGCTTGCTCAGTTTTGCCCAGTTGGCAAAGCCCTCCAATTATGGTGTTATAGGTAACGATGCTGGGAATAATTTCCTTCTCCTTCATCTCATTCCAAAGCTTCATTGCTTTGTCTTCATTTCCAACCTTAAAGTATCCTGCTATCAAAGTGCCGTAGCTCACTTCATCAATCAAATAACCTCTCTTACTGGCAGTTATTAGCAACTCAGATGCTTTCTTAAGCTTTCTCTCCTCACATAGAGTATGAAGAAGGGTATTAAGTGTAATAGTATCCATCTTAAAACCTTTCCTTAACATCACACCCATCATCCTAAAGGCTTCAGCCAACTTCCCTGCCTTACAATATCCATTAATCAAAGTATTGTAGGTAACCTTATCCGGTGAAAGCCCACTTTCTTCCATCACCCTAACTCTTTCACTAGCTTCATCCATCTTCCCTTCTTTGCAATACCATTTAACCAAAATATTATGAGTAACTGCAATTGGCTCCACTCCTTTCTCCCTCATTTCCTCAACCAACCTAAAGCCCTCCTCACTACACCCCCACTCAAAATACCCATTAATCAATGTATTATATGTAACAACATCTGGCAACACCTTCAAATTCTCCATCTCATCCCTCAACTTAACTGCCTCCTCGATCCTCCCTTCACCACACAACCCATTAATCAACATATTATACGTCCAAACATCAGGCAAAACATCATTTTGCACCATCAAGTCAATAATTTTACTAGCTTCCTTCAACCACCCTATCCTACAATATCCTGAAACGAGTATATTATACGTTTTCCTATTTGGAATCAACCCTTTTTCCTTCATATCTTGCAACAAATCCCTAGCTTCCTTTAACATTCCTTTCTTACATAAATACGCAAGAATTGTGTTATAAGTAACATTATCGGGAAAACAACCAAAATCCTTCATTTTCTCAATAAAGGAAATCGCCTCATTAAATTTGCCTTCTAAACAACACCCTAAAATCAAAATATTGAAAGTACTTGTTTCGGGGATAACACCAAGCGTAATAGAGTCATGAAAAACCTGCTTACCTAACTGAATGGAGTGCAAAGATGGGAACTTCACCAACCCATTGATGAGATTATTGCAAGTAAGCAAATTGGGTTTCTTTTTAAGCCTTTTCATGAGGTTAAAGAGCTCAAGACCCAAATGGGGTTTCCCCGATTGGACATAGCTGGAAACTGAGATCTCAAGGAGGGGCTTCGAAAGGGAAGGGTGGTGAACGAGGGAGGTAAAAAGGGTGTTTTGGGGGTCAGAGGAAAGGAAAGAGAGGAGGAGGGATTTGCATTCAGAGAATTTGTAGCGGGAAATGAGGGGAGGGAGGAGGGACAGGAGGAAAGAAGGGGAGGAAGAAAGGGAAGGGAAGAGGGAAAGGGAGAGTTTGTGGAGGGAAAGGAGGGTGGAAGGGTGGGAGGAAAGAGAAGGAGAGGAAACGAGGGATTGCAGAAGGGTTGGAGTGAGGAGAGGAGTGTAAGGAGTTAAGGAATCTACTGGGTTTTTTGAGCTTGTTAGGATTTTGATCAAGGATTTTAGCACTTCTGACTCTGCTTTCGACATCCTGTTCTTGGTTTTCCTCTCTGTTTCTGTCGCAGGTTTTTTAAACTACTTGGTGATTAGAGATTGATGGCAAGGTGGAGACCGTCAAAACGCTGTCGTTTTGACTTTTTTTGGCCCTTTTAAATTTAAATGAAAAAAAATTGCCTTTCTTGGCAATGTTATTATCTCCGAGAAAGCAAACCACTAACTGCCACTGACATATCTTCTCCTCTCTCTCTTTCTCTCTCGAACCCCTACTTGAAATGGAAATGCAAGGAAGACCAGGTGAGTCAAAGCCGATGGTAGTGAAGCTGAAGGCAATTGAAGTGACCCCAGAAAGCTTCCAAGAGTATGGGCAAGTGATTGAAGCATCCCCAGATGGAGAAGAGTTTGGTCCCAAAGATGCTCAGCTGGATCTCAACAAAGGAATCCCAAGGTTATTATTGCTCTCAATGCTATCTTTGATTAGTTTTCATTGAATTGATGAGCTAAGGAGCAAGGATACAGCTAGGAATTGCTGTTTGGTTTATTGCTAAAGGGTAGTTCTACAAACCATTTTCTTTGTTTCATCAAGTACTAGTAGTCAAAACAGTCCAATTAGGTTATCTGGGATTTGAACGGGTTTCAACTCCTGAATCTTGGTAACTCTCTTTTGAGGTGCTCAGCCTGTTCTTTACCCCTCCATATATATATATATATATGAAAACTTGGTTTAAATTAGAATTATGAATACATAGAAATGCTTGATAATGTCTACCATTGCCATCCCCTGTTAAGAATATCAATTTTTAGTTTTGTCCACTAGTTAATAAGCTATTAACATCCTTCCAAGGTGATATATTTTGATGAAAAGAACCTATAATTTGTCAAGCAGTTTCTTGCTCATGTAACAATCTACAACTCTTAGTTGCTTGCTTTGTACACTGCTTGTCGTACAATTAATTATAGCTGTAGATTATTGATGTTGCATTACTCTTCTTCTTTCCTTTCCTAATATGAAAACTGTTAACAGGTTCCCAGTGACACAGTTTAAAGTGCAATTTATAATACATCGTTTCCTTTGAATTTAACCTTTTGATCATATATAGGCACTCGTTAACAGGACTCTCAATGCACTTGGAATAGGTTTCACATTATTCGGCTAGAGGACCAACCACTCAAGTTCGCCACAATTACACATCATGCTAGTGTAACACAATGTCTTGGATCCATTGGAGGTCATGTTTGGTTTCTTGGAGTAGCTAAACCGTCTATAGTGGACTCAAAAGAGATTAAGAATGACAATAGCAAGGCAAATCTGCAGTCACGTTGTGGTCATTTCTATCTTCCTCCAGCTGTTGATGATGTGCAAGTTTTCAGAATTTCAGGTCCAAAGTTCGTAAAACTTAATGTTGGAACATGGCATGCTGGGCCTCTATTTAAAGAACACTCTATGGATTTCTACAATTTAGAACTAAGCAATACCAATGTGAGTTTTTCACTATCTTAACTTCGTTATATATATGTCTATACACACAAGAGAGAACACTATGGTCTAAATCTAAGATTTCTACCTACTCCCACCCCAATCTTACCACTTGACCTGAGCACAAGTGGAGCATATACAATATCATTATATATGATATTTGTGTCTGTTCTGTAATTTTGCTGCATAGTCCTATATTTTAAAGGCTAAAGCTTATATACATTAAGGGGTTGAGCTTCCGTCAGTTAGCTCAAACTTCAAGTTTCCTACTTCAAGAATACTATATAATTAAGAAGGGTGAAAAGTTCTAATCTAATTCAGCAAGCCTACTAAGGTTGACATTAAGCTTATATGAAGAAGTAATAGGTAATTGAACGATAAACATACTTCCTATGTCTTGATTCCCTATATATATGCTTACAAGGTAGTGCTTCATCATTTTTAAAGTTACTAATTGAGCTCACCCTTCAGCTTTAGGAAATTTGATTCCTTAAATCACCATGTGAGATGGGTTTCCCACACATTATACAAACTACCAACAGAAACTGTATATGTTAAAATTAATGAATGTCACATTTTTGCATCTTAAAATGGAGTTGAAATAATTAAAATTTTTGTTTCATTTTTCTTCTCATAGGAGGTGGATCATACCACACATAGCTTCAGAAAGAAAGACATGGTGGTTTTTGCCATTGATGACTGACTAGCTGTTGTGTATCAATTCATGACTTCAACACTGAGTTCTCCAGGGGCTCTTGAAGAAGTAGATGCTTCAAAAATGGAACTCTCCTTGCTTGCAAAGTTTGATCTTTTTCGGCCTTGTCTAATTTGTTTTCTGATACTGGAGGATGTTGGGATTTTAGGCAATCATGGGAGGAAGGGGAAGGTTGTATTTGGGGAGTTCTGTGCTAGTTCACAATTGGCTGTAGCTTGGTTTTCTCTGTTGGAATATGCCAATGGAAACCGTTTGTGTTGCACTAGATTGTATTGGCTGCTATACTCTTGTTAATGTATACAGATTATTATTATTATTATTTATTTATATTAATTTATGAACTATTTTTGGCTGGCAATATATATGGCAACCAGCAAGAGGAAAGGGAAGCAAAGTGAGGGGAGAAATATGGGGTTCATAAGGTGTATTTTTTTTTTGTTTGTTTTTATTAATTAATTCAAAAAAATTAAACACTAATTAGACTTATGTGTGGTTATGACTTTAATTTACTCAATTATGCTTGTCTAATTGTTTCTATGTGCTTGAAGGAATTCTCTCCTTGATGTTATATTTTATAATTCCTTTGCTTTTTACAAAACAAGACTATTTAATTAGCAAGAGATAATTTATAGACTGGGTTTTTTAGATTTGAGGTGCATCTAAACTGCTATAGTTCTGTTGTTGTTTTAACTGTACTAGCAAAATTCTCGAGCTTGGCCATGGTGATATGACTTTTATAGTTTTAATGAAAAAATACCTATAATTTGCAAGCATACCAAGCTAGACTTAGTTTGCTTGGTTTGTGCATTGCTTTCCATACAATTGCGTGACAGATCAGTAGCTTAACTTTTAGTCAGTTGCAATTTTCCGTGGTTTTCCTGTTGCCTGAAATTGTTAAAGAGGGTTTTATGATGACCGACCTATGTATTGTAATAGGTTTTACCTCATGCACCTTCAGGACCAACCACTGGAGTTTTCGATAACTACACATCATGCGAGTGTAACCCAATGCCTCGGATCTATCGGAGGTGATGTTTGGTATATTGGAATTGCTAAGCCATCTATAATGGACTCAGAAGAAATTAGCAGTGACAATGGGAAGATACTGATGCAGTCACATTGTGGTCATTTCTATGTCCCTCCAGCTGTTGATGATGTGCGTGTTTTCAGAATTTCAGGTCTTAAGTTTCTCAAACTTAATCGTGGAACATGGCACGCTGGGCCTTTGTTTAAGGCAGAGGCTATGGACTTCTACAACTTAGAGCTAAGCAATACCAATGTGAGTTTTTGCACTATCTTAACCTACCTTCCTTTCTATTTTTGTTTGGGGAAGGGGAATACACCAAAAGCTAAAAGTTAAAACTCTATTAGGCAGAACAAACTACCCCAACAAGTTCCTGAAGCAGAAGAGTAGTCGTAGTTAACCGTTCTTTGTTCATCACATTATTTTACAAGCATTTGGCTCCATCTGTATTGCATCTATGTCTTAATGTAATTCCACTGTGTAACTTTGATACGCATGCAACGATTAAAAAACTAAAGCCTAGAATGGGAGAAACGACATAGCAGACCTTTGATCACTTTGGCTAAAATTTACGCCATTTTTGAGCATAGGGTTTCACTGATAGAATTTTTGCCTTAAAAAGTTTATTGAATGATAACTTGATCATCCTTGGTGGAATGAGTTGACCTATATATGGTTGCTAATTCATTTCATGCTACTGGTTTACTGAAGGATTCTGACTGATTGTTCATTCATCATTGTCATGGCAGGAAGGCCTTACAAATAAAAATTGCTACTACTATAGAGATTATCTATGGCTATATTTGGTTAGAATTGCTTATCAGAAGATAATTTGACTAGAGGTCTTGGCAACTCATTTCCTATAATCGTTTTTTGTGGGAAAGGGGAAGTGGCTGTGGAGGGCATGGTTATCTGAATCTGAAGTCGAATCCCTCTTTATTAATAATATCTTGACTCTTCTTTAGATTATGAAGAGTGCCTTACAGTTGATACTGGAGTGAAGTTAATAGTAGTAGTTCAGATATCTAGTTGGCTGCATCTCCGTTTGGAGATCTCTTTTCTTCTTACACTCGTCCGTTATATATAATAACTTTCATGAATCTGATGCTGCTGAAAAGTTTGCATATTCTATCTCAGCGTGTTCTATTTCAGAGAGTGGTCTGTTGAAACACCATTGGATGCCTTTTGAGATCTAAGAAATCGCAGTATTTGAATATACATCTCAGTACATTTTTCTCTTCATTATAGGTGGTGGATCGTACAACGCATGACTTCATCAAGGAAAATGGAGTCCTCTTTTCAGTTCATGAGTAGCCATATACCTTCATCGGAAGCTGGTTCAGATAATTCTCTTGTCGCAAAGAAAAGGAATACAGGAGATGTCTTTTCTGTAAAGTGTGAAAACTTTCCATACCTGGCAGCAAATATTCTGGTTTTGCATTCTCAGTTTTCTACTATGCTATTACATTGTGATCATGTGTACCCTTCACACAATTTATTAAAGGAGAGTAAACTAAATAATCAATGTTGTTACTATCACAGTTTCAATTGGTTTAATCAACATTTGAGAGTAAGTATAGCTTGAGTGGTAAAAGCATAAACATACATTTCTTAACTGGACTTGAACACAAAATTCAGTTAAAAAACTTCATTGGCCAAGTGAAATGTAAGGACCTTGGAGCAAGTCAATCAAGCCCAGGTGACCAACCATTTACACATGCGTTGCTGGAGTTCGGATAAATGGTCTTCAAAGAACTCAACATCTTCCTCTTACAATACATTCCATGAATCATTATTCATCCTGTAAACTGCATGGTGGCGGTGTGCTACTGCATCCATATTTCTCCCAATCCAAACAAGTCTGGATATCAGTCACCTTGTAATCATTGCACAAAGGATCCAATCCCAATCGAAGATTATGCATAAATTCTTTTAACTTGGGTGGAATGTCTTGAATACATTCTGGGAGAATTCTGAAGTCTTTTGTGACAGGATTCCATAGAGTTATGCGACAGTTTATGTGCTCACATAAACAAAGATACTGGGGCAATTGTTATAACAAATCTTGGTGACAAACATGTGTTTGATCAAGAAACAAGGGCATAACAAGTTTGTCTTGAATTATCATTATGGTAGCTAAGATGCTAGGCACAAAACTGGTAATTTCAAAGGGAGTGCCCTGATCTACTACCAAGCTCAGACTCTCTGTACTCAACTGAAAATTTTTGAATAGCTAGAGCCTACCAGGGCTTTCGAAACCTTTTAGCCAAAAGTTTGTTTCCATCTCTTTTAATTTTCCTTTCACCTGAACATTTTTATTGACTGGTAGAGTCTGGTACCAATAACATTTCAATTAAATACAACCAACCTGCCTCATAGAGCAGTGATTCGAACAACTTAATGTTGTGACATTCTCACTGATTTTCACCTATAAATCCATGCTATGTTTTGCAAACACCAATATCATTTCCAATAAATTGATAATTGCATATCTATATTTTATGCCAACAGCAGGAAACTGTGATCAGTGTTTCCAGCTTGTATGCCTGCAGTATGTAATCATCTATTCATCTACAATAACATTATGTAAAAACTTAAAAGCTGTAAATCAACAATACAATAACACTCAACTAAACAAAATTTTCACTTTTGGAACAAACAAGGGCAGTTTTTGAGTTGATAAATGAAAATTTGTTCACAAAATCCCAAGCACTACCCTTTTGATGAAAATGAAAATTAAGTAAAGCATGATGAAAGCTAAACTCTTCCAGTAATCCTAAGACCTTGGCTTCTCCTCCTCCTCTTTGAAAAGAGCTAGAAGAGACACACCAGATACCTTAACAACCTTGAACCTGACTCCGGGATTATCTCCCACAGCATGCCCTTTTCGTCCAAATCCTGCAATCAAAACTTCATTCTGCACCAACCAAACCAAGCATGGTATTAGGAAACACTCAAAAGAAGGCATCATCATCTACAGCAGGCTTTTACGATTTTCTTTAACTA